TGCTGTATAATGCGCAACTGTTCGTTTTTATATAAAGTAAAAAGATAACACCTGTCTTATTCAAAGCGTGTTGTCGAGCAAGGAGAAAGCCGGTTGTTTGAGAACGTATTCTCGGCCGCTTTTATAACTAGACTAAAATCTTCGCAGCAACGGCATAAAAATATCGGGAGAAGTCTACGCAAGCAGCAGGTTAATGCCTCAAAGATTAAAAATTTGTGGACGTCTTTACTGCATATGAAAATGCTTCTTCTAGAAGAATAACTCTCTATAGCTGCTTTGACTATTCCTGTAAGTACCCTAGTAAAATTACATTCTTTACAGATCAATTAGCACTCCGCACCCCCGATGGTACACAAGTTTGTCAAGCCGAACTTTTTTTCCGATTAAATAAGCTTCGGGTCGGTCTGGGAAGGTGTCACCTAAAAAAGAACTATATAGTTTTAATTAATAAGTTTGATGGGCAAATTCAGGTCGATACAATGGACCATTTCTTGATACGTCTAGCATATCAAATCGTTTTTTTTTTCTTTTGTTGTGACTTTTTTATGATTTTGTTTTTGTTTGGAGTGGAAAATTAAGGAAGAAGAAGAGTGAAGGAGAAAATGAGCGCGCGGAAAATTGTACCCGATGCATGCGCGCCTACGTGTTCTCTTTCTTTTTATGATTGTCACTTGTATCATCACCAATATTAGGAACCAGAAGCCCAAAACCCGGAGCGAGCAACTTCCATGCGCTCGTGACACGGCGCGGTTTTCACGGACCAGTTTATTTTTTCAACGGTTTTGGCCTGAATTTTGAATAAACCAGTCAGCAAAACCTATAGACCTAAAAATGGTTTTTTTTTTTTGGCCTTTTGATAACGTTTAGTTTCCCTTTTTGATATCTTAAACTTCGAATGCGCCAGTAGACATGACAGAGATTCTATTTTCGCGGGGAAAAGTACCCTTAAATATATTTAAAAACAAACTGGTCCTTAAAAACGCTGTGACAAAGGCCAAGTATGGGAGTTACCCGCTCCGGGTAATGGGTTCCTGTAGGAACACAATAGCCTCATCTCTAGTTGGCTTGATAAGCTTAATGGACAGAGCGTTGGGTACGGTCATCGCAGAGGTGATGGTTTACTTCCCGGTCAAGCCAAACGTTTTCATGTTCACTTTTATCAAGAGCCATAATAGGACAGAGAGGGAGTCTAAGGGCGTTGGCCGGGATATCTTGATTTCAAAAAAGTTATTTTTAGAACTATGCGGACCACGCGGAAACAGTTTCCGGTAAACTGGTTGACTTCCGGAAGACTGGCTTTTACGATTCAGCGCGCCAAAGCGAGGCGGCTTCAACAAATAAAACAAATGGCGGCACAAGAGGAGGGACGATGTGGAGTTGATAAATTGGCCTTCTTCAACAAAGAACCTACAATAGAAACTGCTTAAAACTTCTACACAAAAGGGTCCGTTACAAGCAACGGTAGAAATCGGTTAAAGCGACCTCGTGACCATCGTTTTTGTTTGAACAGCTGGGAAGAGGACAAGTAGCATTGCGTCCCGGATAAGTGTTGCACACAAAACGCGCGGGTCCTATCATGGCTCTTGCTTTTATACATGGTTGATGTGTACGTCATTTATGCGAAAACGATGACGCACTATAATTACCACTGCTTTATAAGGATAGCAGCTTATTACAACACAAGGACCTTTCCTTTTTCTTCCAAGAAGTTTGATGCGGCTACACAGATGCGACCTTCTATTGTCACTGCAATCCCAGTTATCAGGTAGCCCCTCTCCACGTTAAGGTCAATGCTGCGTTCAAATTTGCCTTCGGTGCTGTAAAACAGCAGTTGTGAGTGGTCATCTTTGGTCTGTGAGGCAATGATGACGTGTTTGCTTCTTCGATGAAACGTTATGGCACGAGCAACTTTCCCCACTGGAAATTTTCTTATTTTAGAGAATCGTGACACGGGACGATCTTCTTTATCATTACCTGATAAATGGAACTTGCAACGACGACTTTTTTCTTGGCAACTTGAAGTGTGACGATAATCTTTGCCCGCAGACTTGTCAGCGAAGACAAATACATTGGAGGAATACCAGTCTAACACCATGACACAGTCATCAGCAACTGCGACATCTCGGATACGTCCCAAGGAGTCGTCGCAAAGGCGGTCCATACGCTTTCCTCTCTTGTCTACCATCATTACATAGTGTTTGTCTGCATTTGTCAATACGTTCTTCGAAGTTGTCCGGCCGCCAAGACTCAAATGTCCCGGTACAAGAAGAAGGCCACTAGCTGTCGCCTTTGTTGTCACAGCCTCGAACTGGAGATCAAAGGTAAAATGATGCTTGAACTGAGCGTGATGGTTGAAGAGGAGCATGCTAGCCATAGAAACCCTCTCCGCTTTTTCGTTTTTGGTCATCAGCACGTAAATGTTGTCGTCTTTGTCAGTGCCTACAGCAATGATTTTTCTGTTGTGTATTATGCGTTTATCTTCTGTAGGAAAAAAGGATTTTACAAACTTACCAGTGACGTCAAATATTTTCACACATTCGTTCCCAGTTGAGTCGGCAACAAGGAACTGCCCGAGGGTATTTGTTGCTATACTAACCGCTGACTTGAGGTTTTGAAGCTCTTGTTCACCCTCCTGACCGAATGACCAGGCTAGAGAACAATCGCTTATCTCTTGCTTACACAGCGTGTTTGCCACTCTTGAATCACGGAGGGGGTCGACCTTCTCTTGTCCGATTTCAATGCAGGGCCAAAAGATGATCCATTCTTCACTACCCACCAATAACGTGAAATCGTAAATGGTACGATTTATTTGACAGACGGAGGAAATGATTTGTCTTCGTTCATCCTTGCTGAATCTTGACTTGATTCCTTTCTCGATTTCAACGCTAAAATTCTCTGCAACAAACGGCATCGAATGTAGTTCGTTGAGGCCAGATATACACGCGTCTAAAGTACTCAATGGAGTTTCAACTTTCTCCAATATTGTTGCCATTAGACGAACACCCATGGCAAGGATACGGTCCAAAGGGCTGAGGACTTCATTGTTAAAAGCTTCCGTTGCTTTCCGTCGAGCATCTTCAAACCTCTTCTTTGCGTCAACGATTGCTTCCGCGTCAAGTTCCTCTGTAAGGGAGATCTCGTTTTTGGCTGCACTAGACTTCGTTTCCTTTTTACCTTGGTCCACGAGGCTTTTCATTGGACAAGCATTTGAGGAAAACCACTTAGGCCAAAATCGTTTCTTTTTCGCTGCTTCAGGACTGTGGACTTTTGTACTGCTTTTGACTTTGTTGGCCCCTTTCACGTTTTTTGAGGCGCCTTCGTCCCGGGTTTTCGTATCCATTGCTTTATCCAGGAACACTAATCCCTCCCGGAAAAAGGATATACTTGCCCCGAGATCTTTCCTCGCCATTGCATCTAACTTCGATTTCACGTTGTCTATTTCGTCCATAATCCAGCTTCGTAATTGTTGGTCTGTAACGTCGCCATCCTTTAGTTTTTCTGATGCACTTTTTAGGCCTCTCTTTATGAGGAGGCCAACGGTACCTTTAAACACTGTTGTTACAACTGCAGACATGACTTGTTTGTTTTTTCCGGGTATTACGAAACAAGTACTTGAACTGTGGAAAAGAGACAAATAAAAAGAAGTTAACTCATGGATCAGTAAAGTTCAACCTGACAGGCTGACCGGCTGACGTCGTTTCTGGAGTCAGAGCCGCTCCCGACCTATTACCCTTTCGTAAACGGTCTTTGCCATTATTAGCGGTCGATGCCACCATTGGTAACCGAGACTTTAGTCATTGTAGATGTAACATACTTCCTGGATTAAGTTACAACAAGGAAAATAACGCGTTTTTGAAAAGTCTTAGAAAGAACAATGTTGAGGCCCAAGTTGAATTTACGTTGAAAGTTATGGAAAGGGCTAGGGTCACCCGTTATAGATGTATCAGTTAAGAAAAACAGTTTGTTAGTTATGTACTTAAATTTTTCGGAATTTTGGCGTGTCAGTTGTTGTAGTGTTATGGTAACGGAGAGAAATATAAGAATACGAAAGGTCCGGGTTCGAGCTCCGGGTTGGACTCCGACGTTGCGATTTTCTTTCTTTTTAACAGAAACACTCTCATTAACAGGTCAAAAATTTTCTTAGAAAAGTTGACGAAAGGAACAAATTCGTCGACAAATTCGGGTTAGCATTAGATAACATCGGCTGAAGTCAGATTGTTTCTTTCAGTAAAATTACATGAAGAACAACTTAAGTCCAACTTTACTATATAATATAAAAGTGAAATAGAAAAACTCCACTGTGATGCTTTGAACCCGGGTCACTTGCTTTATAGCCTACATCCATATCCACTACACCATCGAGGACTAGCTGCCAATCCAGTAATTTTTAAAATATACATGTTCTTATATATGGCGTACCCCATTACAATATTTGAAAGCTAACCGTTTTCAGTTCAGTGCTTAACCCTAATCACTGCAGATCAGTGCTTAACTCTCTACTGTGTTCTCTCCATAACTGGAGCTCTGTAGTTTTGGTTTCTTCAGTTATTCTAGCCTCATTCTATATTCCATTCTCGTTCCATTATGGAAGTAATGCATTGTGTAAAATTCATAAGGCGTCCAATCAGGCTTCACTCGATGTTATCTAACGCTAACCCACCAAAAGACATCCGTTTGTGCCTGGTTTATATTAACCATCAATCCATTGTAGCTACGATACTCTGGTCAAAACTGGCCGACGCGAGAAAACAATAGATGATAGTGATAGTTAGAAAACGCTTGTTAACTATTTGTTTCAACGACTCTAGCGCCTAGGAGGCATGACATCCTACGATCGCTGTGCATTGTTTTGACTCTTTTGCAAGCTGACGAACATTCTGCTTGTTTTTCATAAGAATAAACACAGTGCAGTATCTTTGTTCTTAACCCTTCAAGCCCTAAGAGTGATTAGCATCAAATTTTTCCTTGTAATATCAATGCTTGGTAAAACAGAGTGGTCATGAGAATTACGGACATGATCACACATGAGGAATTTGCTTGTTATTTTATCAACTTCTCCCCACTACTTCTATAGTAAATGAATAGGGGCAACAACTGAGAATCCAGATTTTGATTTTAGGGTTTAAAATGTTAAATTTTATGTATAAAAGAACCCTGTTACGAAACCTGGGGTCACGATATAAAGAGAAACATATCTTACTCGAAGCAATACAGTACAATGACAGTAAAATATGTGTTGCTACCCGATGATTACTACATGCATTGCAGACCTATTCTCTGTGTTTGTCACCTGATATAGGATTAGTTCTCAAGTCGCCATATTGTCACGTGACTTGGGTTTGGAACTATTTTGGAATGGTGGTCTTTCTGCGAATATGGGCTTTTTATCGTTTTCTTGTGAAACTTGAACCATCTTCATGTATCTTAACAATGGCTCCTGATCTTAAACTGAGTCGAAACTCTAACTTCTGTCTAGTCTTGCTACTTGATACCTCTCATCAACCAGGAAAAAGAAATAAAGGACTTTTAAGAAGTCTAACTAACATCGTGCATGCTTGAAAAGTGAAGTCAGACAATCTGTGGAAAATAAAGCTGATTATTAAAATACGTACTGATGTTAGTTTGATTTCTCGATTTATCTTCGGAAAAAAATGGAATGGTTTCTCTTAACACGGTATATGAATTCACATGCATTGTAGCCGTGGAAATGCACGCGTCATGCCTGAGGGATGGGAAGGTTGGTCGAGGGCCATTTACTTGAGTGGTCATTAGAAAATGCATACAATGTAAGACGTTTAAGCGTGACTGTGTAGTATCTATTATTATGAAAATCGCCTTGTTTTATTTTCGGTTCTGAGAATAAAGACAAAGCTCTAAACAAAGTCCCCCGGTACAACTTATATACGTATCACTTGAGTCACAGAACTGCTAATTACAGTAACAACCGCATCACTAAAAGAGGCAAAAGCTAAAACGTATCTTTGCATGAATTGAATTGTAAAAAAGTTTATGGACCATGCAGTTTTGTACCCTGGTCCCAGAGGTTTTTCTTGATTTTTCTTCGCGAAAGAGATCAAGAGCAAGCCGCGAAGCAGCGACAACGAGTCGCGAAAGCGACGATGCGAGGCGAGGAGAGAAAAACCTCAGGTTTTTCTCTCTCTCCTCGTCGCTTTCGCGACTCGTTGTCGCCGTTTCGCGGCTTGCTCTTGATCTCTTTCTCGAAGAAAAATCAAGAAAAACCTCTGGAACCAGGGTAGCAGTTTTGTTACTTTAGACTATATTTAGGAAGGGAACTATTTTCTATCGTCTGTTGCTACGGATGATGGAAATGTAGAAACCTGAAAAAGTTTGGCCGATTTTTTCAAGTTTTAATGCTATGTCTGCAAAACTCATCAAAAAATTTCATGGTTAATGCTTCCTTATGAAGTTTGTTTTATGTCTTCTTCAAACTTTCCAGAACAGAGCAATTTTTGTGTGAGTAAAGGTACGAAGTAATGACTTAAGCACAGAATTATCCCAAACCAACAATTGCCTCGTGACAAGTCCCGAAAATGTTTGTCGAGTTGTAAATCTTGATACAGTAGCCGATCCACTCATGTACCTAAAAACATTGCTCTTGTTCACTCACGCATATTTTCCTCTTTTTTGGTGATCTGGCCACTCATGCGCATTAACAAATCTATTTCTAGCGACCGAACCACTCATGCGAGCGGTGGCCGTTCCACTCAAGCACAGCTGAAGCACTATAATTTGAACTAAAACGACTTAATAACAAACTGGGAAAAAAAACAACTAAATAAACAGGGAAAATTTACCCAAGAGGTGAGGCAACAGCTCCTGAATTCTTCCTGGGATGAAGTTCAATGGCGGTAGGGTTTTAACTACCCATCGTGTATGCTTGAAAATTGAAGTTAGACAACCAGTGGAATAGAAATTTGATTATTAAAATACGCGCACCTGTTAGTTTGAGTTCTCGATTTATTTTCACAACAATATGGAATGGTTGCTCTTAACACGGTATATAAATTCACATGCATTGTAGCCTTGGTAATGTACGCGTCATGGGAGGGTGGCCGGGTCGAAGGCAATGTACTTGAGACTTTATTAGAAAATGCATACAATGTAAGATGTTTCAGCGTGATTGTGTAGTATCTATTGTTATGAAAATCGTCTTGTTTTATTTTGGGTTCTGTGATGTTTGCAATTTGCCGAGGACTGTTGTTTGTATCCTTTTACACGATTGTGTTAATGTCCGCGTGTGTAACCTACATAGCCTGCATCACACAGGTCACATTGGAAGTTATAAACTACCGGCACAGTTCATTTACGATCGGTGGCTTTACTCCCTTTACATTCAGTTCTTTGGGTTCTAAACACAGTGCCCTTACGTAACTCGTACACGTATCACCTGAGTCACCGTACCGCTAATTAGTATAGGTAATAGCATGATTTGCAGTGATATTTGGCGTAAATACCACGAGTGATATTTCGAATTTGTTTTACGCACGTTATTTGTACGTAATGCCAAATATCACGTACAAATCATACTATTATTTGTTTACACTACTGCTAATTAGTATAGGTAATATCATGATTTGTAGTGATATTTGGCATAATACCACTAGTGATATTTCTAAATTGTTATACGTACGTTATTTGTAGGTAATGCCAAGTATCACGTACAAATCATACTATTATTTGTTTACACTACTACTCGCAAAGGTTTTTTAATTTTCACATGTAGGTATTTCAAATTAAGCTGAAATACCACTGCTCTAGGCCAATCAAATTGCAGAAATTTCTCATGTAGTAGAAAAACTGAAGTAATCGCATCATTAAAAAAAGCCAAAAGACAAAAGGTATCCTTGCATGAATTGAATTGTAAAAAAAACTGATGGACCATACAGTTTTGTTAATTAAGACTATATTTAGATAGGGAGCTATTTCTGTCGTCTGTTGCTACGGATGATGGACATTTAGAAGCCTGAAAAAGTTTGGCCGATTTTTTCAAGTTTTATTGTTATGTTTTAATTTTACGGTTAACGCTCCGTTATGAAGTTTGTTTTATATCTTCTTCAAACTCTACAGTACAGGAGCAACTCTTGTGTGAGTAAAGGTACGAAGTAATGACTTAAGCACAGAATTATTCTAAACCAACAATTTCCTGGTGACAAGTCCCGAAAACGTTTGTCGAGTTATAAAATCTTAATAAATAAATAAATAAATGAATAAATAAACCGGGGAAATTTACCCAAGAGGTGAAGCAACAGCTCCTGAATTCTTCCTGGGATGAAGTTCAATACCGGCAGGGTTTTAATGGTTGGACATGTCAAACGTGAAAAGCGAACGAATCACTCAAGTATTTTAAGGCCTGGGACTACTGGGTTCGCCTGTGGAAATTATTTATTGGCTATAACCTCGGTACAGATGATAGGGCAGAATTAAAATTTAGCAGACATAAAGAACTCATCGTCCTTAACATTTTGAAGTATCAACATTGTGTTGATAAGCCACGTGATACGTCACGTGACCATTTCCCTAAAAACCGATTGTTAGCCGGTTTAAGGAAAGAAATCGAGCAATAACATTTTTGTAATTCATATTAGATATTTCTAACACTTCACGTTTGAAATGACCGTCCATTGCACTTTAATAAAAAATTGTGAGGGAAAGCGTCATTTCAAGTGCTCAAATTTAATCTCGAGTTATTAAAAACTTTAGTTTCAAACTTCGCGTACGTTCATTCCAAACTTAGAAAGTTAGGTATGCTTATCCTGTTTCAGAAATGCCAATTTATTTATCCAAACAAAGTCAATTCACCACCATTTTGCCAATTTCCTTCATTTTCAATTTTTGGGCACTTGACATGTCACCTGGCCATAATTAAACGTTAAAAAAGGCACAAGGAAACATCAAGATTTACTTTTGGGGAAAAATTCATATTGTTCTAAAAAAAACTGATGGACCATACAGTTTTGTTAATTAAGACTATATTTAGATAGGGAGCTATTTCTGTCGTCTGTTGCTACGGATGATGGACATCATATCCGAGATATCAGAGATATTGCCAATCATTCATATGCTCCGAACACACCTTTGAGCCAGGCCTTTAAACCCCTTGAGAATTTAGCTGTGGATAAGACGCCCAAACAAACGTGAACGGACATTTCGGTAGGCACATTTCGTCTAGTTTGCTGATAAGACCTCTCTCTTTGTTGGCAATTGTTATGGCAAAATACTTGCAATTGTTTCATTTCGATACTGAGGCTATGTTCTTATTGTACATGGATACTATAGATAAATTTAAGTGACAACTGCCAAAAACAAATCGATGAAAAACGAAACAATCTCCGAATCTAGACAATTTTTGGTGCAATTGTAACATAAGGACTCTGCCTGAAAAATGGACAGTAAGTTCATTAGAATTAGAAAACTTAATTTGCAAAGTCATTATATTAAAGAGATCTTTTATGGGAATTTTGAAATCATCAGAAATATTCCAGAATAAGCATGAAAACAGTACCCCTACCTTAATATTTGCGATCGCTTAAGAGCTTTCAGTTTTGTTCAGGGTCTTGAAGCTTACCAAACTGACTAATTTCTCTCGGAACCAGCGTGCTATATATATCGTGTCATGTATAAGGTTTTTTTTTTTTTTTTTTTTTTTTTTT